TACTTAGGATCTCCTAAATATTTAGTTTCTTTCTTTCATTATGATATCTAGATTGTTTAGGTCACTTTATATTTTATTGCTTTATTAGAGTTATAGTTACAATAGGACTAGATCTAGTTAGTTAGAAAAGGCCCTTCCTCTTGTTATTTTTCATATCCAAGAAACTAATAGAAAATCAAACTTTCGTTCACCAACTCTTGTCTGTGAGTTTACATACAAAATCGTGTTAGAAATAGGACCAACATCTGGGTTTCTTCACAACTATCGCGAAGTACGAAGGCATCGATGCGCGTATTAGCAACCTATCGCTTAGAAATCAAGGCGTCGACGCGGGTTTCGAAGCAATCGCCAAGAAGGAAGCCGTGGCAAAGCAACTTTCAAGGCAAATCGAGTTGAGGCAGATACACGATCTTCATCATTGGTGCTCTCATTGAGAGGGTCGACCGTGTATCTTTTTCATCTTTACCTTCCTCTTTCAATTTTTCTTTTCTTTGAATTTTTCTTTTCTCTTCTTTTTCGTTTAGAAAAAAAAAAAATTAAATCTTATTTTGAGTTTTATGGGTCTATGCGTGACCACCTGAAAGAAAAAAGAAAAAAATATTTTTGGTGGAAAAAAAAATATTATTTACTCTTTTTTTGTGAGTTTAGTATTAAAAAAAATGACGAGTACGCATAAAGAGAGAATCGAGGCATTGGAGAGCGGATTGTATCTCATGATCGAAGATGTGCAATCCTTGAAAGCCGACATGAAGGCCATGAAAGATGCTCAACACGCCACATACAATCAATTGGCGAAGCTCGAGCAATCACTATCCGGGTCAATCCAATCCTTAGCCGCCGAATTTGCAAAGCTTCGACGGCGTGGTCGAAGGCCATCAAGAGATCCTACGCCCGGGTCATCGGAGGAGTACGCACCTTCGGAGGACGAGGACAATGCGTACGAAGAAGAGACAGACCGCCAGTCACTGGGGTCTAGGGGTTCACGGCGCCACAAGGAACGGAGGATCGAAAAACTGAAGATTGTTCTTTCCACATTCAAAGGAGAGGATCCAGACGCATGGTTGAGTCGAGCTACTCAATATTTCAACCTCAACGAGACTCCTAAGGCTGAACGTGTTAAGTTCGCCGCATATTATCTTGATGGAGAGGCGAATACATGGTGGCAATGGATGTCGCACGCGAACAAAGGCAAACGATTGAAGTGGAGGGAGTTCGAAAAGGGGTTGATCAAGAGGTTTGGGTCGTCCCAATATTATGATTTTGATGAGGCCTTGACGCGAATTAGGCAAACGGGAAGCCTAAGGGACTATCAAAGGGAGTTCGAGCGCCTAGCATGTTATGTACGTGATTGATCGGAGCGAGCGCTCATAGGCGCGTTTGTTGGAGGCCTTAAGCCGGAACTTGCTGCTGAGGTTAGGCTCGAGAAGTCAAGGAGCTTACAGGAAACCATGGAAGCCACACGCTTGCGCGATGACCACTTGGCCGCGGTACGCAAGATGGGTCGATCAAACACGCGCGATGGCGAAACACGGGCGGAGGTACACGCAGAACCAACGCGCACGGAATCAAGGACGTACATGGAGACCATACCCAAGGCTGGGAGTTCAACGACGACTGGTCGAGAAAAGATGTCCGAGGATGAGAGGCAGCACCAGATAAGCAAGGGGCTATGTTTCTGCTGCAGCGAAACATTCACGCCGGGACATCGGTGCAAGCAACAATTGTACGCCATGGAAGGTGATGAAAAGGAACCCGAGGAGAAAGAAATAAGGCACTGCGTTAAGGAGTACTTGGATATCTCGGTTAATGCGATGACAGGAGTGCAGGGGCCAAGAACCATTAGGTTACCCGCCTCAGTCCGAGGGCGATCTATTGAGGTGCTAATTTATACCGGATCGTCCCACAACTTTATTAGTGCCATTTTGTCGGATGCGTTAAACTTACCGGCAACAAAGGTAAATCCATTCTATGTAAGAGTCGCCAATGGAGAAAGACTGCGATGCCGTGAGTATCATCGAGACGTGCCCATCAATCTCGAAGGCGAGACCATCAAGGCCGATCTATATTCTTTGCCGTTTGTTGGGCCCGACATTGTTCTTGGGGTACAATGGTTAGAAGGACTCTGGAAAGTCAAAACAAATTATAAGGAGGGGATAATGGAATTTTATTCGGATAACAGGTTGATCATGTTAAAAACCAAATCGAGGGGAGCGGTTAAAGGTGCGGAGTTAAAGTGCTTAGAGCTAATGTGTGAAGAGAACGAGCACAAGAGGTATATCCCGATCCTTGAGGGCAAGGATGTGCTTAAAGGGGGCGGGAATGATGCGGAAGTGGTCCTAGACCCTTTCA